TGCTCGTTTTTAATTCTTTCTTTTGTAATTTCATGGGAGGGGGAGTTATCTTTGTTTCTATTTCTTTTGTCTTATTCTGAAGTAGCCAAATCTTCGACGGGTTGGATTTTCCTTTTCTCCGATTCTCCTACTCAACTGGTTTTTTTTTTTTTTTTTTTTTTACATGGCATTTCTTTCTACTCCTTTTATGCTGGTTATGCTTTACTATACCACGACCTCTGCCTGAGATAATGAAATGTGGAATGATGATGTCTCAAAAGCACATGTGGTTTATGGTTCGTATATGGGTGTTTGAATGCATTAGGCGATAGATATGTACGTACTCACGTTTACGAATCTCGTCACTGTCCAGTGATAGACAGCATAGTGGCTATAGTGCTTGCAGATGAGGACGAGTCACGATAACGAGGGCAGGTCTACACAATGCGCTCTACTCTACCTAAATACATGTAGTCTACTCTACGCACTCGTACTCCAGAGTACTTGCATTCTCGTACCACCCAACTAACGCCGAAACGTTACTATTACTACATGTATATCGATAAATACATGTATCGATAAAGCTTAAACCCCACCCTCGCATCATCCCTCGCCAGGCGATTCGCGCGCGGCACTCCCAACTCGCAGTAGTAAGTGCAGCAAGCACAGTGTGTAGTGTAGATCCCCCCCGAACCCCGCATCCCCGAAACGCCCCCCAAAACCCAACCCAACCAAAAGAGAGAAATCCCAACCCAACCCAGCATAGCATACATACCGACCTACTCAATCTCCTAGCTCGTGCTATGCCCTAGATAAAGTAAAGCAGATCGTGATCACACGATACCGATATATATATATCTCGCTCCATTAAGCTTTAATTAAGCCTCAAAGCCTTATTTGATATTCACTGTGTGTTTACTAATCCACCCGTCTTTAATTATATATTACATTTACTTACCCGCTCGTACCTATGTGCATCCAGCGAGATTTTAAAGTAAGGGCCAATGATCTCCCCGCGTTTGTACGACCCATAAAAAATTCCCAACTCGACCCTCCCATGGAGAGAGATTGCAATCCCCCGAACACCCCCGCACCTGCAGGAAGGCTTGAAAAAAAAAGTAGCCTGTATACAAGAACGGGGGGTAAAGTGGTGGAGGCAAAAACAAAATGTCGTGTATGGAGAGAGAGAGAGGGAGCCAGAGAGAGCCAGAGAGAGAGGGGCGAGTGAGGCGCATCTAAACCGATCCTCCGCGATCGATAAATCGTGGATGAATGGAAAAGGCATACCTACCCGCGCTATCGCATCCCAATAGTTTCCGCACCATACCGAATCCACACACACCCCTCCTCCCCCGCGCCCTCCTCCCATTTCTCCTCCTTTTCATCCTCCTCCTCCATACCTCCTCCCCCCCCCCCCCCCACCCTAGAGGTGGTTTGGTTTTTTTTTGTTTTTTTGCTAATGGTCAGATTTCGGGGGCGTTATCTTACATGTCTGAACTGGACTGAACCTCAGGCTCGGAGACAGACAAGACACTGTACTGGTCCACACTGCTGCCGCTCAACAGTTCTGCAGGTGAGGAGGGAAAGGGTCAGAAAAAGCAACACGTTCCTAGATCCTGCTGCCTGCTGAGTAAGGTAGGCTACCTCGTGGGAGACTTTCAAACTCAGTTAATTCTCTAGAGAAACAATCGATGATCACGATTGCATGAGTTACACCAGCGCATAACCTGTCCAGGTAGACGGGATTGGTGCTGAATATAAGTGACCCGTCAGGTCGGACCTTCCTCCCCCCCCCCATTAGACGCCGGTTTACAACTTTATAGCGCCATCAAGCGCCTAGGGGTGGTGACTTAAGCGGCGTCATTGAACTAGCCGGTGAGACTTTGTCCATGGCCTTGTGTGTGATGTGTGGGTGGGCGTGATTTATGGGAGAGCAGCAGTTGATGTCATCTGCAGTTGAGACACGATGTAATATTCAGCCATCTGAAGATGTATACATGAAGAAGCAAAAGGGTGGGACGGTGTTTGATTGTTTTGCCCCGTCAACGTTTGATGTTTGTTGACATGTAGGAAGTAAGGGGTGATGAACGGATAGAAGACAGAAGCACATACATCCAAGTACACAATTGGTTTGGCGTGTCCATCCACGATACCCGCCCGTCCGCTGTCAACCAAACCAACCTTATCGCCCAGTAGACAAGCACTTTGGTAGGTGGGCAGTGAGCACCAGCTAGGTAGAGTACACTGCAGCAGCGGGTCCCTCCGCTAGCTGACCCCTCTAATTACTCATCTCTTGAGTCTTCCATCGTTACCCTCCAAAACCCACCCCTAACCTCCAGCTTAATCCTTCTCCATCTGATTTAGGGGGAGTGAGTGTGCAAAAGTGATCGACACTCCCGAAATCCCGAAACACCGACCGACCGACGTTCGGAGGTCCTGTTATGTAGTTCCCGCCCCAGATTTTCGGTACTACCGCAGCCAGCTAAGGGCCCGTGTGGTGGTTTTGTTGCTGCTTGACGCTAAAATAATTTTCCCCGTGGCGCTCTTTATTTGGATCGGTGGTTTGTGCGTTCCCGTTCTTGTACTAGACAGGACAGGGACAAGGATGGGCGTGTTACTGCTAGAAGAGCACTGCTGTCTTGACTTCGGTGCTTTGTCTTATCGATGTCCTCGGTACTTTTGAAGTATTTGGAAGAAATGTCGTGACGGTGATGAAATTTATCTCTTGGGGCGAGAGAAAACAGGTATGTTAAAGCAGACCAGGCCAGAGGCAGGGGGGAATAATGCAAATCCCTTTCATCATGGCCTGAGATCGCCCAGAATCTCAGGGGAAGAAGCCTGAAGCTGTGTTGGGGAGAGAGGTTGATAATTTCCTTCTCGAAGCTGAGATGACGGATGATAACAGATCTGCTACGCCGTTATTCATCACCGTAGATCACTCGGACCCATTTCATCCGCCCAGCCTAATTAAAAAAAGCACTACCACCAGCTTGGTAAGTCATGAACGTTCGGAGGTCTCATCCAGCTCGATCTTGTAGTGTATAAATATATCCATATACATTTAAGAATTATGATATCTCCCCGAGACCAAACTTCCGCAAAATCTGAGAAAATTCGTTGCGAGACAGCAGGGGTATAGGCCAACCAGAGGCAGTCTAGCTTTGGACGTCAATATGCAAGTTTCGGTGTAGAATATCCCTGCTGCTGCAGCGCTCAGATTTTACGGTTCTGTTCTGTCAAAAAGGCTTGTGAGTAGTTGTGAATGGGGCCATGGGCATTGGCTTTGATATATGGGTAAACCTCAGTAGAATAAAAAGAATATATGTACCTTAACATCGAGTTACACCGCCACCATCTCTCAGCATCTATAATATAGGTTGAAAGAAGAAACCTATTTCTCTTCCATTTACCTACCAGCGAACAAAAATCCAATCCGCGGAGGAAGAGAGGTAAATAAAGTTGAGGCTCAAAAACAAGCATTTCCTTGGCAGCGCCAGCAAGCAGTGGAGGAACAGCACACACACGACCATCAGTTCATCTGCATCTCCATCCCCTGGGAGAGATGTGAGATGAGCTGCTCTTTATGTGGCCCCTTGTTACCGCCCCCCCCCCCCCCCCCCCAAAATCTTCGCCGCCAACGGCGGTGCAGGAAATTCTAGACCCCAGACGCACGCCCGCCCGCCTACTGCGGCAATCGCGAATCTCGGTTGTGGACACGAGATACATTTTCGCGGTACGATCAGACAAAGTACTAGCGTGGGGAAAGATCCTATGGGAAGAACGCATTTGGAAGGAAGGAACGCAGGGGAAGGGCAGAAAAAAAGAAGAATCCCTCGGGGGCTTTCTCCGAGGCCGGCGCCGGCCACTCTTTTTCTCTCTCACTTCGTTTGTTTCATCAAATGTAGTTGGTAGACGACCCTTTACTCTATTATATGTAGGTATTTCTTTCTTTTTTGTCATTTACAGTTGGATAGAGAATTTATGCAGTTATGTGCCCAGCGGGTACTGTTGTCTGAGACTCAGGTTAAGGGTGCAACAGAGCGCTGTTAACGCAGCAACAGGGCACGTGCTTGTCACCCAACCCGCTGCTGCTCTGCTCTATTGCCCTCTTAACCTACTACGCACATGGATCTCAGACAACAGAACCAACGATTTCAAACACTGTTGATCAACCTCCTAGTCAGAGGGGAGACTTCGTAAGTATGTAGGTAAGCTCGGGGACTAAATGCGCAACTCAAGGAACGACGGACATCGAGCATCTGCGTGGGCGAGGGAGGCCGATTAGGAACCACCGAGCCGTTGTCTGATAAAGAGCAATAATGCAACACGATACGATACGATTGATTGAAGCTAGATAGCTCCGTTGTGACTCCTTTTTTCATAAGATACTCGACGCTTCTGCCCTAGCACTCCCGCTGCTGTGCAGGACCGCAAGAAATAATTATGTCTTTTTTTTGAGTTGTGATACTTGCGTGTAATTACTACATTAGCCTCAAGTAAAAAGAGCTGAATGGGGGCCGGTCCTGGAAGATTACATGAATTCTCGCTTATTTACCAATGGTGCGGTACGTGGGACGGAAATATCCCGGCTTGTCGGGCTGATAGGGCAGGAATTGTAGGTACTAGAAATTTCACTCCCAGATTTATTTCCTTTATTACAGTTTCATCTGCCTTCATTCAACGTAAATTTAGGCATTTGAATTTGCCACTTTCTCGGCTGATGAAGTCTGGTGACTCGCTATTTCCTTCCGTGTCAGTAAAGGACGTGTCATTCATTATTGATGATTTCCTGAGCATGAACCCCCACTGACCCCCACCTCTCCTGACTGCCGAGACCAACGGCCCGACCCACTGCGTGACAGTGCGTGTATCAGAATCATTGCATTGAATTGAATTGTTATACGTGGGGTACCATTATCAAATGCAAAAACTTCAGAGTATCGGACATTTGGACTTCTTGAGAAGTCGTGATGGTTTTCCCCCACTGAACAGTTGGTATCTAAAATAGGAGATCCTCCCCCTTAACCTAAGCTTGGTGCCAGAGTAACAAGACTGAAGTCTAGCCTTCCGCTTTCTTTTTCTCTGTCGATAAAGTCTTGCACGACCTTGAGAGCCTTCTCACTAAAGACGTCATCATCGCCCAAGAAGCCCCTGTCCAGCGGTCCCTTTCTTCTTCCGTCAAGCTCATAGAGATGATTGCTCTTGGATTTGACAAAGCAGACGTAGTGCAGGTCCACATCGGCCTCTGCATCTGGGACAAGAGATGATCCCTGGGTAGCTGCGGATTTATGGGCCGATTCGAGTTCCCGAGAATCTTCGAGGACCTTGGCACGATCCAGTGGGGGGAGTGGGAGTGCCTTGGCAAGCAGTCTACCGATGGGGGAGTCGGCCTCTTGATACGTGTTAATCATTACCTCTCCCTTGGCCGACGGGAGTGATTTGAAATGAAATATGAAGTAACATACCGATCATGTCTCGGGCAGCGCCGTTAGAGATTGCATGTAAGACGCCTATCATGCCGCAAGCATTTCGGATCGTCTGTTTGAACCAAACCGGGTCCTCTCCCTCGCCCTTGCCGTTGTATTCGGGCCTGCTTTCATCCTCATCGCGCCGAAACTTCTCGTAGCTCTCGGAGACAGGGAAAACGAGAAGTAGGGCAAGGGCTGGTCTCGGTACGAATGCAAGGAGCTCGGGCTCCGAGATGGAGAAGACATCGTGAAACGCAAGCGTTGGAGTTAACCCCAGATTGTGCACAAGGGTGGTCATCAACTCGGGGTTACATCTGCGGGGGAAAGCGGGTAAAGTCAGTAGCTTTTTGATGAGCGGTCAGTTTGGCCGGCCGGGAGAGAAGAGCGAGCATACTCTAGCGGAATAAAGGCTTTGCGACCTTTGGGGACATCGACCGAAGGGTCATGAGGATCAACGGCTGCTGCTGTGGGGTCGGACATCATAAAAGATAGATGATGATGACGATGGTGATGGGTGATGCTTCTGCTGGTGCTTGCTGTGATTTGTATCTAACTGCTGTTGATCTCTTTCCGTTACGGGTAGCGTTAATATCACACGTAAGTTGAGGTCTCTGGGGGTGGTGGTTGGAACACTTTGTGATCACACACAGCCAAAGCAACCAAAGCACAAAAGTGATGGGGTTGATGGTGGTTGGCAGCAGCAGTTGGCAGTCAACAGTGAGGGGACAGGTTGCGGGCACTGCCATGGGTGTAACTCTGCTATTGCGTAAGAGGCTGAGAGACGGACAAATCCCACGCACTCAGTGACCGACGCACGGTTCACGCAGGACTCCGAGATTAACTGAAATGCAGGATATTTCATCGTCGCTTGGCGAGCCAAACAAAGAGCTTCAGGCTCCTCCTCCAGTAATGTTTACATGATCTAGGTTTCCTCAAACCATTTACATCATACTGTATCTCTCGATTCATCGTTTCATTCCGTTTGTGTGGTCTCTGCTCCCTGCCAATACATGAAAATGTTTCTCCCTCTCTGCTCGATGCGGCTGCCATTATGTACATAAAGCTGGACTGGCTGGGATTCTGGGAATAACAGCAAAACCCACTGCGGGACTGGTCACACCCTACTAAGCGAGAGCACAAGCGAGGAAAGACGAGACGAAACAAAAATGCTAGAGTGACCTCTCTGCAGCCACCATCCATCATCCATCGTAAACTGGCCAATTATGGGACGGCGAGCAGTGCAAGTGACAGTCTGCTCAAGGTGTCACCGCTCTGTGGGTGTGGAGGTAGGGCGTCCCTCCGCTTACTGACCCCAACACGGGCAGCGATCAAGGGTCCCTTGCAAAGCGTTTTTCCAACAGATTGGGTCCTCTTTACGGGAGCGATGGAGGATAACGATCGGCAGAAAGGAACAGCTCATCACGGTTGCGGAGCACTCACAACCAAACCGCTTCCAATCGCTAGACGTTGAATTCGTTTTTCTCAAATTTTAATTTTAATTCTCACCATTCCTTTTGGCAATTATCTGTCGGGATTCTCTTCTTGCGTAACACCTACAACCCAGTTGGGAAACAAGAGGACGAACATTCAACATGCTCAGGTTCCCCCCCACCCACTCTCCCCACGTAAGTCTTTGGGTGAGGGAAAACCGTGGGATCTGTGCTCAGTCACGTCGGTGTAGACTGAAGTCGACTGCTCCAAAATTGGCGGTAACTGCGCGGCCAAGGCAAAACCTACAGTCGTTTTTTTTGTTTTTTCCTTAACAAATTCCCGGCTGCAATCCAGTCTTTGAGGTTATTTTAACCTCCTCCTGTTGGCCCTGTTGGCGGTTGGCTGTCGGCCAGTCGGTACTTCATGTACCAAGTACAACCGGCAGGCCTGCTGAGATCCAGTCAGATGGTTCTCGTTGGCATAGGAGGTTCCACTCGCCTCATCCAAATCTGTGTCTCTGGTTCTGGATACGGTAGCTATTTCTTCCTTGTATGATATTTCGGGCACGGCTTCAGCCTGGGCATTGTCGTGGGAGCGGTGTGGTTGTAACTTGTGGTGGTGGTCAGTGGTGGTCCTGTGCACACTCACTCACTCCCTGCCGAAGGGCCTTCCTTCCGGACTGCGGGGGAAAAGGAAAAAAAAAACAGGGCGCTGATCGTCATGACCGCGGATGGCCTGAGCCGTAGATTGAGCAGTGCTCTATTGTTGTATTCCTGCTTTTGATCCTGACTCCTCCTTTGTAATATTTTCATCTTCCTTCCTTTGTCTTTTCTTTCTCTACCACAGGATCTTCACCACTCCTCAACCCCCCCCCCCCCCCCCCCCATAACTCCTGCTACCTGCGCACCGCCGGTGGCTGTTATCGTCACGATAACGATTACAGTGACCACATCAGATCTGTGATCAGCTTCACTTACTGTTTATTTGGCACTGTTCTTAATAATATAATCCTATCCGCTTTTGGTGGTGGTGGATAAGGTTTTGGATACATATATATATACTGGAGGCATTCCTCAACCTTATTCAAAGGCTTAACGGGCTGCTGCAGCCCCCCCCGACTTTGGTTCCGGTCAAACGTGATGGCCGTAGCGAGGCTTCAGTGACACAGCCCTACCAACAGAGAAATAACGAAAGGATAAATCCTCCCGGAGAAATCCCTTGCACTCGAGAGGTTTTATCTTTATCATCAGTCACCGCAGCCCCACGACTTTACCTCGGTCCCTTTAACCTCATTGAATTGGGGTCGATACGCGGCATATTACAGCATAATAGGAGGACTTGGATGTTGGGAATGATGGACTGGTTTTCAACAAATTTATTAAGGAAACGGATGGAGGAGGAGGGGGGTAACGACCGTTGGGTTGATGACCCAATATACGGATTGAGCAGACTAGATGGTCGGGCTCTGGACAGCTTGAACAATAATTCACCAATATTAACCAGCCAGGAGCTTTACATTCTACGAGTAATAGCACTGGTAGCAGCGAGCATTTCATTAATCAGTGGTTTTGTTGTTGGATGGTGGTTTGTACGCATGAAGAGAAGCTTCAGACATCAGTATGCACCCCGGGAATTGGCTGGTTGTACAGATGTACATTAAATAATAAAGAGAGAAGGGAAAATAAATGCTAACTTTGTATTGCACAGTCTCATTATGTTGCTGGTATTTTCAGACTTCTTCAAAGCAAGCTGGCAGCTGATATACCCGGCGGTTGTATTCACGAATGGGGCGGTTTCGAGTACATCGAGGTTTTGCCAGGCTGCTGGATTTTTCATGTCTATGGGGATTGAGGCTTCCGGTAAACTACATAAAACATCAAAATCCCAGGGGGAAACATACCCTGGGTTATGAAATCTATTATAATAAAACTAACTTTTTTGGAAACTAGATTTCGCGGTATTGGTAATAGCAGTCCACAGTGCACTCTATATTTTCCGACCCGGCCTAACAGCAATCGGTGAAGGCGGACTGTATCGATATCGTCACTCGGTTTACGTTGCGTGGCTCGCCTTTTCAATTTTGATGCCTTCACTAGCCTATGTCAACAGTACACCAGCCTACACAGCCCAAGGTACATTTTGCTATCTTCCAGTACGCCCATTCTGGTATCGAATGGCATTAGCCTGGATACCTCGATACGTGATTCTGGTCGTGATTTTAATAATCTACGCCTCCATCTACATCTATGTGCGAATGAAGTTTCGCACATTTCGGAGTCACGTGGGTGCCAGTACACTTGAGATGGATACGGCGGATTTGGTTGCAGCAGAGCAACCTAAACCAAATAACGGACAGGTGCCAGCATTGGATGACCATGGACTGATACCAGTATCACCTAGTGGGGACAGCCGACAAGCATCAAATTCCTCAGACCAACCATTTGCAAAGGCTTTGATAATCCCTCAGACCATTGCGGAGAAGCTCAACTTTTCACCTTGCAACTCAGAACCCCGTGGATCGACCTGTGATGGCAACTCATCATCACCTTCACGTAGGGGATCGTTGCCTATGTCTGTTTCTAACATGGATAACAGCAATAACACGCGAGGAGGGGGAGGGGGAGGCAGTCAGGATGCAAGGAATGCCAGGTTGCGGGGGAGAAGGATAGCCATCAGTCGACAACTACGACTATTATTCATTTACCCATTGGTATACGCCCTTATGTGGGTGCTACCCCTGATAAGTCACCTACTACAGTATCAGGACAAATTCGTCAAAAACCCCAGCTTTCCATTGGCCTGTATGGTTGCGTTCACAATACCTGTGCAGTGTGCGGTGGATTGTTGGTTGTTTACGATCCGGGAGAAACCATGGAGGTATATCCCGAAATCTGACGGAAAATGGTTTTGGTCAAGATACGGGTTCTTTGCAGGAGAGGAGCCTGCAACTAGCAGAAATGAGGGCGATGGTTGGAGGAAGAAGAAGAATATGAGCTTTGAGGCAAGGAAGGCCTACGAGAGAAGGGAGGAGGAGAGAAGAGAAGCAGCGGAGGTTTGGTTGACGAGGCAGGAGGAGAAAGGGAGACGACCACCGATGCCCCGAAGATCAGACACAAACTGGTGGGATATTGTCGACAATGGCGATATTGCGGAGGAATCAGAAGAGGAGATGTCTGAAGTTGAACCTCGTGGCCGCATAGATGAGTTAGGAGCATTAGAGGATGGGAGAGGACCTATGGGAGAGGAACCACCGAGCAATCATTAAAGCGATTTTGAGCAGTTTAGCCCTTTTCTTTTGTGTTGATTTTTTTCTTTTTCTTTTACTATTATTGGGGTTTGGAACATAACTTGGGAGGTGTGCATATCTTTTCTACTTGGGGATCTTACGACTTATGAATATGGGACCTTTCTTTTGTTTTGGATTTTGGATAATTTTTACTTAACTCTCTTTTGTTTCTGAAGCATGCGCAGATTCCATCCTTTTTACTGGCGGGCAAGTTTTTTTCTGCATTTTTGAGACCTTTTTCTTCTTTTTCATTGCATTTTGGGATCGGCATACTTATTTAGCTAAAAGGCGACCGGCATTTTGGGGATCATCCTGTTGTTTTGGTTTGTTACTTTTTGGCGAGCTTTCTCGTTGTACAAAAACAAGGAAAAAAAGGGCCTTAAAGGGCTTGGGCTGGAGAGACTAGTTTTTTGATAGGTTCAGCAGCTATTGATACCCTTTTCTTCCCTTTTTCTTTTACGAATGCTCTTTCCTGGTACTTAATATTTATTAGGGGTGTTTTTTGCTGTTTTTATCATTTATTTTTGGGTCGGCGTTTCTTTTACAAAAAAGGTTTCTTAGGGGTTAATCTTTTTGCTAGTGTTGTTGGTGTTATTGTATTTTTTTTGGCACCCCCCGGTTGTGGAAACAAACAGGTTGAAACGAAAAAAATATAGTGGATCGCATAGTATACAATATATTGGGAGTCTATTTCCACTTGTGATCAGCGGGCTTTGTGAAAATCTTTGACCTGTTTAATGAGTTGATGGTTTTGATGATGCTTTGAAATTTTCAGCCATTATTGATGGCTTGCGGCAAGGAGGGAGGGAGGGAGGTTGGTTGGGGGAGTGTAGGTAGAGAGGAGCTTTCACTTGAAAGGCTTGCCTCTCTAGAGTACTTTATTTGGGCTTGGTGCTGCATGCATGAGTGACGTGCCACGCAAACAGGGTATATATCCTATTTTGTGACGTTGTCTTCGAGAACCGCCGGCACGACATGCTTCGTGGGGTAGGGACTTTGTACCATCACCAGAATCAAAATTATCGATTTAGCTACAGATCCCCAGACGAAATAAACTACCGGCCTGACTGGATGGCGCTTTTCGGATACGCATCACTTCATCAGAACACTGCAGAACCTACCGCCCACACATCTCATGGAGGAACATGGAGGGCTAAGAACTGGGGAAGTAAAGCTTGGCTTCATCGGGGGAGGAGGGGGACCCTCCGGGGTTGTTCCCGGGGTATATTCGCCCTTCAGAGGCACAACTACAGGTTGAGGCCGTATTGAAGTTGCCCTTTCAGGGCCAAGAGCTAGCCAGTTGTCAAATGGTTAGAGTATTTCGGTGGTGGTGGTGGTGGTAGGCATTGCGGTAGTGACTTGTCAATTGATCTCTCTGCCTCTGCTCGTAATTATGGCTATGTGCTCTGCAGGACCGCTATCGTATGCTCTTCGGAAGCCGTTCCTGGATTTGCCTTGGTACGCTGCTGCGCTGCTGCGGAACTTGATGGCGTAAGTGAGGATCGGAGACCGAAACCCGTGATCCTGGGTATGCTGCCGGTTCGTTTTTTCTTTATATGCATGTTACGAGTGTCAGAGATATGCAGACATGGATTGTCTGCGGATCTTCGTAGCTGAGACACTCAAATTATGCAACACTAGGCTGACGATGGAGAAATAGTGCTCTCTTTCGCGCGGTGACCTACTCTAGTGATACACTTGATACACTTCATATACCTTATATGCTTGATACAGAACCCCTACTTTCTTCAGCAGCAGCCTAGATTTGAACAAGAGACGCAATCTGAGACGAAAATCCCGGATAAAAGTTCTCGGCGATGATCTCATCGAGGACGGCCGTCGATACTCTAAGATAGAGAAAAGAAGAGGTGGAACTCGTTTCAGATCGAGGGGTATTGCTGCGAAATCCTGTGGTGGATAGAGAAGCGAGCCGAAGTCATATGATGTAGGGCTGAATAACATAACATAACGAACAAGCTTGTTATGGACTTTAATCTTAACCGCTGGACCTCTCCTGCCAATAAGTGGGGGTAGGTATTGACCTTTGTTATATTGGCTGATACCTCTGTGCCTCTTTTGTTGAGGAGCTCACAATCATTGATGCCGGTGTCAATTATCCCGCGTCGACTGCTTGAAGAAATATTTTCCCGTCTTCGGCCTTGCCGACAGGCGCATAAGTCAATGTGAAACCGAGACGAAACAGAAACAGATGGAATCGAATCTAAAAAACAATCTGTACCTGAAATTGAATGACGACAGAACCAGCTGATCTCGTTTGATGGACATTTACCCAATGGTTGCTGTCGAGGAACCTGACGATCGTGTAGATCAAGTTGGCTTGGACATAAGAAAAAAAATTGGATTTCCCTCCCATCTGGCAACAGTGAAACTATTGGCTGGCTGTTTTGTGGAGACAACGAGTCTAGAGCCGGATGCTACGATGAGAAAGCGCGAGTAACCGCGGGGAAGAGCATGTATGTACCGGGGGTTGAGGGTAAGTACTGAGAACCCCTTTTTGGGGAATTTTAAAAAGTGAGGGTTTGTAAAGGAATCTGATTGGGCTGATATAATTAAAATGACACTTGGCAGCCAAGCAGGTATTTGGACAGTCTGCCCCACAGCTTTTGCAACGCAACCTCCTCAACCTCTTTTCTACTCCTGTTCTTTTCGAACTTCACCAAAACTTCTTTGATAACTTCGAATCAGTACTCAGGTGAACCTGTGAGCAAGGGCTATTCAGTGGTTATTTTTTTGTATTTTTAGGAAAATATTTGAATTTTTAAGTGAAGATAGATAAAACGTCTCGGTATTTTTTTCCACCATATAAATTTTGAGGCCAAGGCCAAAATTCCTTGGCTGCTTTTGGTTACCATGGGCGGTTCCCATACAAAATCAACCAATCCTTCAAGGCGTCTCGGTATTTAACGTGCACACCCGGTACATGTGGTCGTAACAAAAACATTGTCCGGTCTGAAAAGCTGGGGTTGATGTCACTCAGTAAGTGCTACATCAGCAGTCAAGTTCTAATTTCTATCGTTCATGGGCCGCACATAAGCCTTGTACGACCTTAATCAAGGACAACAAGCTAGCGGGACATCGTATTGACGATCGTTCTCGAAAGTGATCCATTTCTTGTGGTTTTCGATTGTTTGAGGATCTGCAGTAGTCAACTTCAACCAGTCGGAACGAGGCCTGGAGAACCCTGGAAAAAAAATCCGATATATACGAGTGATATCTGATGATTTATACCAGTCTATTGCAACCATGGCTCACGTCAATGCTGTGATGATACGATTACATAACAATCAGCCAATATCTTATCAAAATCACCTGATCGTTGGTGATGCTGAATGCCTACTCGACCAAAGAGTTCTTGGCATGTTGCACCGCTGAAACTCATGTCGGAAATTAGTGTGAACAGCTCACCAGTCAAGAGGCCCAGAGATAAGCTTTTAGTGAACAGACTGTCTTGTGTTTAGATGGACTATAAATAATGCTTATAAGACCAAAGCGGGATGTTGTTTTAAGTGTTCCCCCGCAGATCTGGGTAAAGAGATCTAGCCCGGGGGTTTCATTAGCCTATCTCAATGACCATCTGAAGCCTACAGGTTTAGGCGGCAGGTTTCATAGAGAATGGGGCCTCAACGTGGCGGGAGATATCTCTCTGTGGCTTGATCTTATATACTTCTTTGGTACGTAGATTTCCTTCTGGTTTAGACATTCAGGGGTTTATCGTGGTGGTTGGGTGTCTTGGTGGTTGGGTATCATAGAGCGTAAACGAACTCTGGTAGAACAGCTTACCTTGCACTATGCAGCCACAATTTCTGCCAATACAACTCGGAGCTAAATGACTGGTGGGCAAGACGTCGAGCGATGTCGCAAGCCCCCAATTCAGATCTGTATCACATCACTGTCTTTTACAGTAACAATACCTCCTTTTAGGGCACTCAGAAAATCATATGTCGGCCTGTAAAGACCATTTGGTTGGTTTGTTACTTATCTGGGTGGATAAATAGCCTATATCAAATCAGAACTGAGACATATATGTGGGTCCAAATCATTCCACTTTTGTAAAATGCCAAGGAACTTTGACCAGACGGGAAAATCTAATATTCTTATCAGACGGTGATTACAAAGCAAGAAAAAACCTTACTTGAGTTTATATGTTTCTGGTTTTCTTATACATAACCGCCACGATACTACAGACCTTACACCTGTAAGCTTTACCGCACAATGAGCCAGTTCGCAGATGGCTCAGGATCCTCACCCTCAGAAACAGCTTCCCGGACCTGTATTGATACGGTGCCTGACAATATACTTCCAACCCGCTACATCCATGGATAGTAGATTGTGGAGTCCTTTTCACCAGACGTTCCGCGTCATAACATGCTTAATGATAAGAGCAAATAAGTAACCATTCGTCGAAAGAGAGTAACGAGAAAAAATTACTCGGAAATCATGATTTCAGGAGAGGGAGACATATGCAGTTACACAGAGAGAACCGATCGTATGCCTGTACACTGTACTGCTGTGCATGTGTGGTAAAAAAAAAAAAAGAAAAAAAAAAAAAGCACTGGACGGAGGTGAGAAAACTAGACTCCAAGCCACCTTGTAGCTGAGGACGTCGCCGTTCATACCTTACAGCAGCTTCGTAAACATCTCATGCCCCTAGTCATCTCAAATTTGGCCTCTATCATAAAAAGATACTCCATCATCTTTGTCAAAGCCAATCGATACAGTTTGATCCCTAAACTTCGCCTCAGGCTTCACTTTGATCACTAATCTCTCTTCGAGCAAGTATAAGAGGACGTATGCAGATTCGATGCGTCTTGTTACTAATGCCGGTGAATTCCTGGAGACGATAACCTTCGGAACGAGCCCAAATCCGAGCCTTTCCCACAAAGATATTTAAGATCTTAATCGTCTGATCTGGACATCTACTTGGACGATATCATCACAAAATCAATCAAGTTTCATGA